GTGGTTCATAAGCGAGTCGGTCACCCAAGCGAGTCGGTCACTCCCCACCAGCGCGTTGACGTTGACACGTTATCACAGTCTTTTATTACAGTCAATAAACTATTGCAATATACCAAATTAATTGTCAGAATCGCTACTATCACTTACACTATCTATCTCAACTGCGCAGGTACGAGCGTTGTGTCCAGTCTGCTTGCAACGCCCGCACCGCCGCTCTCCTCGCACCCTCTTCGACGCACTCTCACCATCACCACGACTGCTACCCGCCTGTTCAGCTAATACTTCTTGTACTTCGCCTACAGTAAGAGTCTCTTCTGTCCGTACGTATCGCCACTTGCGGCTCTTACGCTTATTTGCTGTGTCTAGAGCCTCTCGAAGAGCAGCTACTTCCTCCCTCATAAGCGTCATCTCATGTGCTATTTGCTAAGCCCCTTTACTTAGCTATACAACCTTCTCGTCAAGAGAATTTGCAGAAGACCTAGGGCGGTTTCTTACTCTCTGTCGAATAAGAGTACTTTGAGCCTCAACCTCGCGCGCGTTGCGTGGTGTCTGCGCCTGCCAGGCGGCTGTCCGTCGTGGTGATTGTACTGGCGTCTGCACCACTACATCAAGCTTAGATAGCACAGCCTGTGGGTCATGTGGGACTAGACCAGCGCCTCTAAAGCCAGCTTGGATATTCTCCTTTGTAATAGACTGCTCAAAAGCAGCCTTAAAGGCTAGTAGGAAGGTCTCTTTGCTGATATAGTGGGTGCGGTTGCGTGCCAAGCCTGAAACAGCGTCGCCATACTTGCGCTTCAATGGCGAGAAGCAGGCGACGTCAAGGGGCTGCAATAGGTGAGACGAGTGTGGAGGCATGCAGAGAAGAATAATATTCTTCTCCTTGCAAAGATCTTGAAATTTAATGGAGCAGTGGCTCTCATGGCCGTCAATAATAAGTAGTCGATACCCACCCACAGTAGAGCTCTTTGTATAGGTATTAAAGTGCTCTAACTAGGCAAGACTAAGCTAATTATTCGTCCAGCTATTAGGACTGACTTTAAGAACCTAGTTAGCAGGCAAATCCTCAAACTAGACGTTGATAAACACCTTGCCCGCAAAGACAACAAAGGGTGGTATTTGGCGACCTAACGCGCCCACGCCTTAGATTATAGTAACCCACTCACGGTTGCCTAGCTATACCTGTTTCTTTTTCCTATATCCTTCTAATGCTGTGATTAATAACTATAATAAAATCTTGCCTATTATAAAGCCAGTTTCATCAAAGTTGTAGATATCGTTGTCTACAATACCCCACTTCTGCCTTGTCGCCTGGACTAAGTCAAACCAGCGCTGGATAGCCACTGGGTCCTCGCAGGCGGCTCGCTGGTGATCATAGGGACGGCTCCAGCGCGTACGGAGCTCAGCAGTCCGCCTAACAAAGTTGTCAACCCAATTCTTGCCAATAGGGTTGCCACCACGCTCCTCTAACAGTTTATTGGCCATTGCTCGAACCTCAGCCTTTGTAGGGGCAAATCCACGCGCAGACTCTTCAAAAATACGTCTAATAATAGCCTCCTCTTCTAACTTATTTAGGCGCTCTGAATTTGGTTCACAGTCGCGTCGGGGGCGCTTTCCAGCCTGTCGATCAGATATTGTACTTTAAGGCACGTTATAGATAGAGGCAGCGCGCGTCTTTAGCTTTAAACACGTTGTGATTAGATATTAAAAAGAGCAAGTTAAAGATCTAATTCAGGATAAGTTAATTAATAGTTGTGTTGTTAAGACATAACGCGTTGTAGTATCAACGTCGACGCGCTGGTGGGGAGTGACCGACTCGCTTGGGTGACCGACTCGCTTATGAACCACGTTAACTAACGTGTTCCACCAGTCATCCGGCCACACCAGTCATCCGGCCACCCCACCAAACTTGACCTAACCCTCTACACAACAACAGCTATGACGCGACAACAACGCTCTCTATCGCCTCAAAGGCAAGGTAGACTTTGTCTTGCATCTCAATCAATTCAAAGACATCAAATTAAGAGTCAACGTAAAGCTGCTCAGCTATTTAATGTTCCTCGTTCAACGCTTTATGACCGCCTTCAAGGTAGACAACCTCAAGCTACTGCTAACGCTAGAAAAAGAAAGCTACTACCTATTGAAGAGCAGTCTCTCGTACAATGGATCCTAGACCTTGACCGGCGCGGTTTTCCGCCCCATATTATCGATGTGCGACGAATGGCAGACGCTCTACTCGCTGCGCGCGGCCAAGATCCACCTCCACCACCTGTTGGCAAGAACTGGGTGTCGCGCTTTGTCCAGAGCCAGCCAGAGCTCCAGACAAAGTGGA